GCTCACTGCTGCCACAGCTGGCTTTCTTCTTAAGATTTCCTTAGGACAGTGATGGCGAACCTTTTGAGCTCGGCGTGTCAACATTTTGAAAAACCCTAACTTAACTCTTGGTGCCGTGTCACATATAGAAATTTGTTGATATTTGCAACCATAGTAAAACAAAGACATATTTTTTATATTTATTTTATATATTTCATTGCCATTTAACAAAGAAAAAGCAACCCAAAAAATGAGTTTGCGTGTCACCTCTGACACGCGTGTCATAGGTTCGCCATCACTGCCTTAGGAGAAGCACTTCATGAAACAATAAAGTAGAAGATCGAGGTCTACCAGGGTCCCGTCATGACAGAGCGCAGCGAGGAAGGCATTCCCCTGCGTCAGTGGCGGTTGCCTTCACACGCCCTCCGTTCCCTTTGAATCCCTTCCCTCCACTGCCCTGCTCCAGGTTGGGGACCGGCCTCTGACAGGTTGACCCCGGGATCAGAGGATGAAAGAGGGGAAGATCAAAAGGAAGCCGGGCATCACGGAGGAAGAGACATCGTGACTTAGGGACTGAAGAGTTTGCCAAAAGCGCTGTCCTCTTTAACCCGCGATGTCTCATAAAGGGAGAACTTGCTAGTTCAAACAGACGTGAGGGATGTCTGCACGCAGATGGATGTGGATGTACTGACCTATTGGAGAAGGTCATTAGCGAGGGTTACCCCAGCGGTGAAGATTGGGATTGGATGCTGATACCGCCTTGTGTGTGAGTTTGAAATTTTAAAACAGAGTGAGCATAGAGGGGGCTACCTCCCCGCCCGCTGAGTCCACAGCCCTGCCTTGTGCCCCCTTATCTCCCAAGTCACCTTTTAGTGGTGACTCAGCCAGTACATTTTTTTTTTAGGTCCATTGTCTTTTTGTAAAATCAATGAAAAGGCATTATGAGCATTGAGGGCTCAGACTATACATACGGTTAGACAATTACCGATAATAATGTTGCTACTAAGAAAAGATTTTGTTTGGGGCCTTCGCTCTGGATAAATTGTTCACCTACCCAAGTCAAGCTCTTTCTTCATTCATTTAATCACATATCCATCAGCAAATGGTTACTGTGTCTGCCACGGGCCGGGCACTGGCCGCTGGAGGTCCAGAGACAAGAACTGGGCTCTGCCCGGAAGAGATGCTCAGGAGGTCAGCGACAGCGTGGCAGCCAGCAGTGGCAGTGAGGACCTGGGGCTGCGGCACAGCTGGGCATACGGCGCCATGGGTGGGTCACAGAGAAGGGCATGGAAGGAAAACCAGGAAGGCAAAGGGACTATTCTCAGAGAGGAATGGGTCGGCCAGAGGAAGCGAGAGGTAGAAGTGTAAGGAGTGGCGAGAGTGGGGCTAAAGCTAGAAATAGAGGCAGAAACTGGACAGGGAAGGAAGTCAGGAATTCTGGGAAGCATCCAGGGGCTTCAGGGAGGGGATGAGAATCACGCTTCAAAACCACCTTGTGACCATGTGGCTCATGGGCCAGAGGGTGGGCCTGGGGCAGGGAGAGCGGGAGAGCTCCTGAGTCGTGTGGACAAGCTCTGGATCAAGGCAGGGACAGTAGGAATCAGGGAGGGACACAGATTCCCGTGCTGGTGAGAAGGGGAAGTTTGCAGTGCGTGGTGCCTGTTAGGACTTGCAGGGTGAGATGTCTGAACGGCTCCCTGGTCTGGATGGGCAGCCAGGGGAAAAGTGAAGTGGTGGTGTCCCCCGCAATAGGACAGCTTCGGGGGTTGGTGGCGGTGGCATCTTTCATTCGGTCTGAAACGTGCTAAGTCTGAGATGCCGGTGAATAGCCACCAGATGTCTGTCGGCAGGTGGCCGTTCCAGGCGGGAGTGGAGCAGAGACGTGTGGGCGGGAAAGGAGATTTGGAATCATCAGCACATGGAGCTGTCGAAGCCGTTTGCTTATTTAGTGAATATCAGGGGCACGCTGTTGGCGCCGGCTTCACGGGTGCAAGACCTGTGTGCGCCACCCAGGCCTCCCTCTCGAAGGGCTCCACAGTTGGTGAGAGGCTTTGCTGCCAGCATTTTAAAATTCTCATTAGCAAGCGGCCCTGCGTTCTCCTTTTGCACTGGACCCTGGAAATCGTGTAGCCAGTCCCGCTTACAGTAGCCTGGCCCCTTGTGTAGCAGGGCGGCTACAGTGTTGTTGAGCAAGACAGAGTTCTTGCCTTAGGAGTTAACCGGCTAGAGTGGAGGGCGGACAGTTAAGTCCTCAAGAACAAAATGTGATGTCCTGGGGGTGGGAGGGAGACCAGGGGAATGAGTATCCCAGGCGCCAGGACTGGGAGAGACTGTCCAGTGCTGCCCAGGTGCCGGGCGTGTGGTCGTGCCCAGTGGGTATAGCAACCAAGAGGCCACGTGGTGACTCGGGAGAGCAACTGGGCAAAGAGAGGAGCGAGAATGAATTCACCCCTGAGGGATCCGTGGGGCGTGAGGAGCAGACTCTGAGGTGGGCTTTGGGTTAGGAGAGTGTCGTTCGTTTAGTTTGGGTTTTGTTTGATTTTAAACACAAGGTGCTCTGAGCGTGGTGTTGAACTCTGGGCAGAGAGAGGCTGGGAATACAGAGAGGGAGTAACTGAAGTAGGGCAGACTGAGGAGGGAGGGGATGGAGGGACTCGCTCCATAGCTGAGGGAGCAGGTGCATTTCCGGGGAGCCCTCTTGGCTCTGTGGCATTGACCCCTCATTCTGTGTAAGTGAGCATCTGCTGCCTCTCATTCTCTCTTTTTGCCTCAAATTCAGGGAAAAGTTTCTCCTAAGTTGTCTCATCTGTTCCTTCATTCAGCAACTGTTCTTCGGTCTCCTGCTGAGCGGTGGGCACATGCCACGCGTTTGGAACAGAAGAACGAACAGAACAGACAGGCCCCCTACCTCCTGAACATGGGGCCCTGACCCGGGTGTGGCTCCTCCGCGGGTCCTCCCCAAGGACTCCCGCCGCCTCCTCCCGGGTTTCTGACACTCCGGTCTCACTTCCCTTCTCTTTTTTAGTATCTTTTCCTCCCTTCCTGAATGCCCACCTTTCCTGGTTTGCGCCTGGAAGCTGGAATTCAGGGGCCACGTAGAGAAAGGGACGAGAAAGAGTTAAGACTAGCTTTAAGCAACATTTTGAAACAGAAGGTTGCCTTTGGCATTTATTACATAAGGACTTTTGCTCTAGTTCCCCAAGTTCTCACGGCCCTTTGTGCTACTTTAAGTGTAGGCCCCAACCTAGACCTTCCCTTCAAGTCTCTCCACCCTGTCAGACTCCCTGCTCCCCGAGGGTAGTTATTCTCCACTGGCGATGAGGACAGAGACCGTTGGAATGGCCTCACACTGGTTGGTGAATGGTGGATGCCACTTTGGGGGGGAGGGGTCGGGTGATTGCATCTTACAAGTGGCCCTGGGTTTATGAGAAGGGCTCTTTAATGTGTCCTGTTTCTGGCAGCATAACAAAAGGAGCGACGCAAATACCAAAGCCCGAGGCATCCCCTTCGCAGAGCCAGCCCCTTCAGCATTTCCATTTTCTCACAGCATCCACCATTTTCTTCCGAAAATTCCCTAAAGCCCCCAAGATTTTTGTTGTCCTCTCTCCCTCGCCTGTCCCCCTCCACTGGTTTCCATGACAGCAGCCACTGGGCACAGGTGGGAAGGGGTTGGGGCCATTTGTAGGGACTGTTTCTAAGCCTGGGAACAGTCTCTGGAGGGGAGGGAGCGGTGCCAGGGCCTTCTTGGCACAATGAATGTGGCCTCTCCTGGAGCCAACGCGGCATCGCCTGGAGCTGAGCTTCGGGCGTGTCCTCGGGCCTCAGGTGTGTCCACGGGCCCTTGGCGTGCCTGTGGCCTCCCCAGAGGAGTGTGCCAGGCCACCTCCCTGGCCGCCTGCTAACAGGGAGCTTTGGGCTTGAACAGGATGCAATTCCCCAGCCACTTCCATTTGTCATAGGAATGGCAGCCTCCCGCCAGAACCGGTCCCTCGCTGGGAAGTGGCTGTCAGGAGCACTTCAGAACAGGGTCTAAGAACAGGAGGCCCCGCCGGGAATGGGCCTTGGAGAGGTGGCTCCATGGTTATGGGCCCTGCAGCCCCTCCTTGAGACATCTGCTTTGGGAAGCTCTGCTCTCTCAAAAGTCATGGAATCAGCAGTAGCTCCTGGACACATTGGGGTGAATTTACTGAACTTGCATGTGGGATGAGAGTGAATTTTCCTGGGCCCAGGATGTCACCCTGAAACTCAGAAGCTTCAAACCTGGGGCGTTCTCAGAGTGTGATGAGCCTGTGGGTGGCTGGGCTCTCACTGTGATGCATATTCCATACAGGAGGTCCAGGGCAGCACCTGAGAGTCTGTATTTCTAGCAAGTTCCAAGGTGAGGCCGGTGCTACTGGTTTCAGACACTGAGCAGCCAGGATCTAGAGCTGTGCTGTTGACTGCATTATACACTAGCCACTTGTCACTGCATGAACGTAAAGCTAAATTAATTAAAATAAAAAAATTCATTTCTCAGCGGCACTGACCATCACTGCATGAACGTAAAGCTAAATTAATTAAAATAAAATTAAATAATTCCATTTCTCAGCGGCACTGACCACAACTCAAACGCTAGTACCCCCCGTGGCGGCCAGGTAGGACTGCACAGATGAAAACATTCCCGTTATCCCAGAAAGTTCCATCGGAGAATGCTAGTCTGCAGTGAGCCTCTGTTGTGTCACCCACGTACTGACCCACGTACTCACTGAGCATCTATTACGTGGTGAGTCCCGGAGCTGGGCATTAATGTGTGGGCCCAGCGAGCAGAAAAAGTGCACGTAAGCTCACCGGAGTGTGAGGTTCTTAAAGAACCCACACCTGCGCTGTGTGCGGTTGAGTTGGTCACGGGGACCGTTGCCCTGGGGGTTGGAGGAGAGAGTCCCCGTTGGCATGTGATGTGTGTTCTCAGCCAAGCTGGGAGTGAACACAGAACCGGGGCCCCTCGGGGATTGGCTGCTGATCATGCGTTTTCACCGTTTCAGGGCCATCATTGTCAGGAATGGAGAAATCATCCCCATGTCTTCGGAATTCACCCCCGAGACGGAGCGCCAGCGACTCCAGTACCTGGTAAGAGTCCCGTGGGCCTGGCAGAGCGTGCTGGCATCAGGGGGGCATCCGGGCTGTTTGGGAGGAACACGCTGCTCCCGACATGGGAGCGGGCCCGCAGCAGACGAACGACATATGGTATGAGCTCCCCCACACACACCTTCCGATCACACATCCTGCTCCGCGTGTGACGACACACTCCACCTCCGTGAATTTATTATTGCGGCTGATTTTCTCCCATCTGTGGCCAAACGCATGCTCTGTTTCTTCTCCCCCCCTCCACTCCCCCACAGAGGACTAAATCTTTATAAAGCGTGATCACATTGAAATAAGTATCATAGCTTAGTCATTGGAAACCAGTTTTTTTATTTTAAAAGGTAGAAAGTACTAGGATGCTTTTGATTGAAACTCTCAGAAACCCCTATGTCATTGTGTAAACAGTGAGGGTATGTGTGTTTACAGTGTTCGGTGTTTGGACGGTCCCCGGCATTGGTGACCTAGTGGCTCAGTATTTCCCTGAGGACGTGATTTCCCCTCTCCCTGCGCCAGCCTCGAGCCTGGCTTTTTGTCAGGATGGTGGCAGTTGGGATGCAGCCACTTGAGATATTCCCTCAGGTGCAGGAGGGACCCAGAGGAAGTTAAAGGGGGTTACCTTGCACCACAAGCCACTGATAGACAGGAGAGCAGGGCTCTGCTTCCCTTCATGGGTTGGTGTGTGCAATATGAAGTGCGGTGTTGAGGAGCGCAGACGCCTTCTTCCTGGGCCTGCCGCTCACTTTAATTTAAACCGAGGGGCTCGGCCCGAATCCCGTGGTGAGGAGGACGGCAGCCCGAGATCCTGCTGACTCACCACTCACGCCATGCCCCGATGTGAAGTCTCCGGGCTCCTTTGGGACAGATGCAGTGCCAGAAAATGTTTCTACCCTGAAAATAAATTCTCCTTGTAGATCGCTGTGTTTGGGGTGAAATGATGAGAGGGCTGGAGGAGAGGGGGCTGTTTGGTTTTTCAGAGCTTGAGAATTTTTGCTTCACTTGGAGATTTGAGTTTTCTGGAAAACAGAACAGACATACGTTCCTGTCCTCAATGACAGGAGCAGGGGCAGGGTTAGCAGCTCAGTTCAGTGACTTTGCTCGTCCTCCTAGATTACTTTTGGTGGGGCGTCTTTGGGGACTCACTGTGCGAATAGTTTTGTGGATGAAGTATTTCCTTGGCAGCTGGCTTTCTTTTAGGAGAACATGACCCTCTGCTCTTAGATAAGAATTGATCCAGGCTCCTCAAAAAGGACTTTGTTCGCGTCTCGGCATTTCAGCAGGTGTGTGAAAGGCCAGGATTTGATTACTTTGTTCAATTGACAGTTTCCCTCAATTTTCTCGTCTGTCCTTTTCTTTGTTTTACTCAATAAGTAAGCTCTATTGCTTTGGGCAGCTACCTGGTACATAAAACAGCTGGCATTTCTTCCCTCTTTACCAGCGATGGTTTTCTAATCTTCCTGTTGTTTCCAAGCAGATGCACTGCTCCCAGGAGCCCAGACCTTAGAGCCCTTCACCTTTTGTGCAGGCTGAGCAGGCGGGGTCCTGCAGCATCCACGGGGGTCTTCATTCTGGTCCCAGCTCTGTCACTGGCCAGTTGGGTAGCCTTGTACGAGTCTCAACATTTCCAGACCTCGAAGTGTCACTTAGAAAATGGAGAACTAGATCAGAGGGTCTTCCAGGCAGAGTTCACACCCACTGGCCTCCTTGCCATCTCTCTGGTGTCCTCCAATCTGTCTTCCCAAGCCACACATGTGGTCTAATCACGGCCCTCCTCACTCCCGCCTAAAAACCTTTGGCTTCCCGTCGTGCACAGAATGCAGGCCATCCTTGGCAGACCCACAATCCTCGTCCCCACCCTTCTCTCCAGCATCATCTCATGGCTACCCCCACCAACGCCATCGTGCCCAGGCGTCAGCACAGACAACTGTCTTCCATGTACAGGGCACACCATGATCTCTCCCACCTCCATGCCTTTGGAAATATGCACTGCCTAGATGACCCTTCTCCTCTTCTCTGCCAGGAAAACTCCTCCTCATTCTTTGAGACCCCAAAAGCAAATGTCACTCCCTCCAGGAAGTGTCCCCTAACCCCCGGAGGTCAGTCCCCAGTGCTCATACAGCTCTGTGTGCACATATAGTATTGTATAGGCTTATTTCGCCTCCCCTTACACACTGAGTCACCTCATACTGCCAGGACCAATGTTACAGAAGTTACCAGGCGGCGGAACACAAAACAGCCAGGCACTCAGAAGATTCAGAAAATGCACTTTAATTGCAGGAGCACCGGTGCTGTGACTCAGGGGAATCAGTTTCCCAAAGCTGAGCACCGAATGTGGGGGGGGGGACCGGGGGGAGGGCTTGCTCAGGGGAATCAGTTTCCCAAAGCTGAGCACCGAATGGGGGGCGGGGGGGCATGTTCCCTCTTATCCCCCTAGTTTCTTTGTCTCCCAAATATGGACCAGGCTTCTGGACTTTTCATGGGCTTTTGCAGCCCCTGTGACGGTTGTAAGGGGGGAAGTGAGATAGCGACCAAGACCCCATCTGGCGCCGGCAGTCAGACCCCGTTGTGGGGCTGTGTATGGTTATAGCTCCTGTTAAGATAAGCATTCAGGGAAACAGGTTTTGCAAGGCTAGCTAGGGCACAAGTGGAAAGGGGGTTGGGGCTAGCAAGCATATGCATCGGTATGCAGGTGTGGGGAGGGGGGGGCTCAAGCTGCCTTCACACCAGTACAGAGGAGGTACTGACGCGGGATCTGTTGGCTGACTGACGTCTAGATCATGACCACACAGCACTTTCCCCTCCACCTTCCCCCGAAACCTATCTCAGCAGCACCCGTGCCTCCCAAGCCTTGACAGCAACATCTTCATCCCCTCCTTGCCCCTGAGTGGAACCTAGTTCCTGTTTTCCTGCTAGAAGCAATGGGGTAATTCCAGGTTAACTTTTTAAATTTTGAAATAATTTCACACTTTCATGTTACAAGAATGATGCAAAGAAAAACTCAAAACGTTGACTTTTGAGGAGGGATCGGAATGCTGACATGTTTCAGATTCCTGAGTGTCAGTCGTCTATTTTGGGATGGCTTCAGCTCTCAGCTTTGTCACGCAACTAGGCTGTGATTTCAGCAAGGCCCTTTTCCAAGCCCAGCTTCACCGTCTGCAATGGGTATAGAAAACCTCAGAAGGCAGGTGTACGGGTTAAATGAAATAACATAGGCAGATTCTTTTGTGGAACCCAGTACTCATTTGGTATTGTTTGATGCATCAAAGTCTTGACACTTCAAATCCTACTGGCCCACAAACCACAGGAATATTTTTTCCTTCTTTTGACTTAGTAATCACTCCTGATGTTCCTGAGATTAATGTGTGTTTTGGTGTCACTCCTGAACAATTAGTGTGGACATTATTGGTTCCCAGACCCGAGCCTAATGTCTGAATTTCTAAAAGGGAAGCACACTGTCCCCATTCTCTTTAATCCTTGCTCCTAAACCAGGTAGGTTTCTCTATAAAACTCTTCTCCCCCCATGACAGGAGTGTGAGTGAATAGGACATGAAATATCCTGGTTGTCCAGTGTCATCTTCTGTAGGAGTCTAAGAATGTACGCTTTGAAATGAACAAAGCCAGTGGTGATAGTCACGTGACCGGTGATGCGCATCTTTGCGAAGTATTTGAATTAGGGGATTTATAGCATACGATAACCTTGTGGTGAGATCTTTATAGTAAAGTATTGAGAGAATTAGGATGTTTTTAGGGTAAAATCTTGGAAATTATATCAGTGTGACCTGGACTTCTCTCAGCCCAGCCCAGCCCCAACCTGGGCTGTGTGACCTCAAGTCCCCCACTTGGGATCTCTGCATCTCCTTTTCTCCTCAGTGGGATCATGGGATACTTCTCATGAGATAGTCATCATATGTTCTGAAATTGATAGGAGAAGTAATCCCATGGTAATATAAAATATACTATCTATAATAATAAAAGCATAATATGCTAATTAGACTGGATGTCCTTCGGATGACCTTCCAGATGAAGCTGGGGCTGCGAGGGAAGCCCGGATCCCAGGTGCCAGAGGGAAACCGGTGCCAGCAGCCGGGAGAAGGAAGGCCGACTCTTGCATGAATTTCATGCATTGGACATCTAGTATATCTTATAATTTTGAGTGCATCAAATTTTACCCAATTCATTTTTTTAGAAACATTTTCCTGGAACTAATTGTGAAGCAGTTTAGTGTAATGATAGTTGTACTCTTTACACGACTTAAACAAGTTAGTACATAGCTGGGGAGTTAACAGTGTGGTCTTTATTCTTAGGTCAAATTAAATTTTATTTTTATGAGGTGTGAAGAAACACTTGACGATAGAATTATTAAAACTTCTAGGTCCTTCGAGACTTGGTTTGAGCAGCTGTCTGCAGTCCCAGGGCTGTTTGACGAGTAGAAATGGTTAATGATTTTCTTGGAGGGAGGGAAGCCTTGGAGCCCTTGGTACTCGGACCATTTGGATCCGTGTGGCAGAGGAATGTCCTTGGAATGCACGGTCTGGATTTGGGGGATTATGGAGCTGGAAGCAGATTACAGGATGATGGATGTGGCAGGCACGCTCATTGTGTTGGGTCTCGCATGCTGACCTCGAGAGGGCCCTTCCTGCATCTCCCAGTGTAATGTGAACTTTGCTCCGTAGATTCCTGGGCCGGTGATTAATCAAGCAGGCTTGTGGGTTTGACGTGTTCACACAGAATGTGGCAGGTGTGTGATGAAGGGGCCAGGCTATGACTTCTGCCCCCGCAGCTGGGGAGGGCTGATGATCCCAGAGTCATGAATAAGCCTTGCTCTTCTGCGGGGCTTTATTTTTATTAACGTTTCCCGGGTGATTGAAATGAAACATTAAGGGGTCCAGAAAACTAGACAGAATGTGTGGGTGGAGTCAAGGCCCAGATAGGCGGGAATTCGGTCTGCTCCATAAGCATTTCTCAGCAGAACTCACCGTAGGTGTGAG